CATGCGGCACCTCTGTGCGAAAAGGGCCAGAACAGGACGGAAGGCGAAGCGCGGGAAGGTATAAACAATGGCGGGCGGATGATTGAAGTAGTTGGTCTCAGACGTGTAAGGAATGAAGGAACGGGAAAGTCGTGTCTCGTCAAGTCGTGAAGGGTGAAGGGCTGGATGGGCTAGTTCTAAAGTCCGGGGCAGGCAAGTGCCACAAAGAGGTATGGTGTCTATATAATTTCTGCGACAATGTGAGACGGGGGTAAGGTGACTGTAGTAACAATTTGGCGCTCCTTTGTGCGAGGATAAATGGTAGTAGACGTCGCGAGGTTGGTAAAGGTGGGCGGGTGGTGGTGTTGAGCCGCGCTTGCGACACGCTCTCGGGATGTATGGTAGAACAAGGCAACTAGGAACGTTGCCTTGTAGAGAAGCGACTGCTATTGTTGTGGTGTCCGTTCCAGTGGCGCTACTGAAGGTAGGAGAATGGTAGGTCTTCTATACTGGAAGGTATAAGGTAATGGAAGGAATATAACCCGAGTGGTGGGAGCTGCTGAAGTTGTGTGAAAGCCGCAGTTGGATGTGCAAGGGTTTGAGAAGGTGTCGGTCGCGAAATTCTGGTAAACGCGTCGCTTTTTTGGGAGAAGGGGGAGGCGTTAATTGGTAACACTGCACTGTGCGGGGCCTATGGGAGAGCACCTCAGTTGAATGGAAGGGGGGCGGCCCCAGCCCGTCTCGTAGCACGTACTCCGTAAGGTAGGTAGGTAGGTAACTTTGCTGATCGGCCCGTGCTCTTTGCTCCACAGCGCACCTCTTCCCCCTCCCCCCCATCTGCCCTCCCATTTTCCATGTTTTCAGGTTATCCTGCTGGTCGGGCTACCACTTCACGCGTACAGTGTCATTGAACTTTCCTGAACAGTACGACGCACCGAGAGCCTGGCTGAGCTCAGGTGCTGAACCTTCCCCAAGCATTTTCTTTGAGCCCTCCGCTGTCCCCTTTAGCTCTCACACACCTCGATATCAACCTACCTACGAACTGAATTCCATCCCGTCCGCAGGTCAGGGACCTTCATGTGCCCAGAGCCACCTCCATCTGACGTAACTACCCCCACTTACATAAGGTGTTCAAGTCAATACGGAGTACGGATACCTCCAAAGGGCCAATTGACAATAAACCGTCCGCCCTGCCTTGTCCTAAAGCCAAAGCTCTGAACACCAGTCGATATTGGGAGTTTTGGACCAGCTCAACTGCTTCTACCTACCCCTTGACACTATGTCTGAATGGGCCTTGGCCGGTCCAACACGACATTCAGGCGCCTCATTCCTCGCCTTGGTACAGCGGCGCATCTCGCTCGCCGAGATTGACTCACACTCGGCCTAATGACTTGTGCATGACCTCGAAATGGGAGCCCCGATTGGCCCCCACTCAAGGGGGAAGAGACTGTCTGCTCCCATTTTCGTATTCCTCCTTTTGCTGGAATCTAAGAACCTCCGTGCTGTGAGACAACTCGGACGCGTGCCAGCCAACTTTCCTATCCTAGATGCCTGCTGGTGGTGCTCCAGCTCAGTTTCTGCTAACGCTCCCTTGTTTTCAATAAGGACCAACATGGTTTCGCCCTTGATGAGAAAACCATTAGTCCATTCACAAGCCGATCATGAATCACCTACCTGCCCATGGGCATCTACGGACACCTCAGTTACTCACCTAATCGTGATGTGGAAAATCTCGCTCCTGAACTGTGGCCAGTGCTAAACAGGTGCGGCAAGACGAGGTGCACTAATAGATTGAAGACGGGACGGTACAGCAGCGTCCGTTCCCTGATGGGGTCGGATGCCGTCGCCGGTCGCCCTAAGCCCGGCCCACGCCCAAGACCTACCCCACTACCGGGTTCACTTGACGCACTTTAACGGCCCAAATGGACCTGGCCACGAGATTGCAAAGTCCAAGTTCCCGTTCCGTTCCCTACCAGTTCCGAGATCCATCCGCAGTAAAACCCCGGCTCACTTTGCCGGACTTTTAATGATTGGTGCAGCCCGACGAAGCCTTGTTGGGTAGTAATCCAAGCCAAGTCGAAACAAAGACAAGATGCACGAAATCATCACCCTCCAGCTAGGCCAGTTGAGCAACTATGCAGCAACTCATTTCTGGAACACACAGGTATTCAGATATATGGCTTTGGCACCGACGAATCCCGTGCTTCTTAATACGACACACACACTGAACCTGTTGCCCAGGAATCCTACTTCACCTATTCCGACCAAGACGAGTCCCCGGTGAACCACGACGTCCACTGGCGTCCGGGTGTGGCCCTAGATGGCTCCGAGACCTTCCTCCCGCGTACCGTCGTCTACGATCTCAAGGGCGGCTTCGGCTCGCTTCGCAAGATCAACGCCTTGTACGACGCAAGCCAGGAAGAGGCACCTGCTCACTTATGGTCCGTAAACGCGCGCCCATCTTCGAACCCCCAGCCGCCGGCTTTTTCTTTCAAAGCACTCTAGAACCAGCCATCTGACATGTCATTGTCGGCCTCAGGGAAGGATCTGCTCAAGTACACAAACAACCCCTGGTAGAGCCAAGCGCCTACCAGCAGAGTCTTGACCGCGGCACTCCTGCGCCGAAGCTCACGTCCTCTGACGTGCGGTACTGGTCCGACTTTTCGCGCGTCTATTACCACCCAAAGTCTCTAAATCAGCTCTACGACTATGAGATCAACTCCTCCATCAGACCCTTTGACAAGTGGTCCTTGGGGAGGGAACTGTTTGATTCTCTAGACAAGGAACATGATATCGTCGACCGGGACTTCCGTCCCTTTGTAGAGGAGTCTGATCAGATGCAAGGCCTCCAGATCGTGACAACTATAGACGACGCTTGGGGAGGCTTCGCGACTGACTACGTGGAGCGCCTACGCGATGAGTACGGCAAGACGACGATTTGGGTATGGGGGCTGCAGACTCCTGTACCCGCTGCGCGCATCGTGAGTCTCGAAGATCTGCTTGCTTGCTTACTACCCTGCGAACCTAGCTAAAAATAACGCCAGGACCAAAGACGCCTCCAACTCGCCAACACTGCAAGGACAGTCAAGGATATGTGCGAGCACGCCTCGATGCTGGTTCCCATGGCTCTCCCCCAAACCCGATTGAGCTCCAACCTCAGCATCAACTTGCAATCACCATGGCAAACCACAGCCCTCCTGAGCACCGCCATGGAAACAGCAGGACTCGCTTCCCGACTCAACTCAAGCAGCTCAGGCAGCGGTCTGCAGGCAACGCTCGGCGAGCTGGTAAGCGGGTTGAACCTACGCGGCCGACAGACCATGAGTCGTCTACAAATGAGCATTGTCGATCCAGCCTCGGAAACGAAACAAGACATCCGCGCACTAGAGTCAGCTTCCGGCGAGGACGAGGCTGGCGAGAACACCAAGCTGGACACGGACTTGTTCGACATCCTCCGACTCAAGTCCACTCCTGGAAGAAGGAATATGAATGGCGGAAGTAGCGGCGAGCCTCACCTTTTCGGGCAAACAATCACCACACGTGGTTCACCGCAGGTCACGGAACAAGACGAGAGCGAGGGCGGCGATGGCAGGCAGCGGCCAAGGGCTGCGCTCGTAGAGACCAGCACGCAAAGGTATTTCACAAAACACAGCCATAGCTATGATCTCAAAGTCCCGTACTTCGATGACTGACTGTAGATGGCAGGTATCTCACCGATAGGGGCTTCCCTATGCTCGACAGTTTCCCCGAGATCTACCTCGACGGTAGCGGCAAGCCGTTGAGCGAGTCGTTTGGCGTCAAGACCAGTCTGTCTACCGACACTTCAGTGTCTGCTGCGCTGAATGCTCTGCGTACTACCGTTGCATCCTCGCTTGGTGTGGAGGACCGAGAAGACATCAGCAATGAGCTAGCCGACTTTGCTGAAGCGTATCGAGAAGGATGGTCAAGTGGCAGCGATGACGACGATGATTGAGGGGACTTGACACTGCTCTAGTCAATCCAGACTAATCAGTACGTCAGGCCAAACGGCTGAAGGATGGAGGAACCCTCAGATATTGGGTCTCACATTGCATCGCCTCGGTCACATCGGCACTCATAGGTTGGTTTGGCACAGAGGTCCAGATGCCACAAGTCAGGGGCCCTTGAAGTCACAAGATAACAGATTGAGGCAAAGGCAAAAGTTGGAGACAAAGCATAGTCAATCCTCTAAACCGATGGTATCTAGTATACAGCTGGCCTCGCCTTGACCCAGTGGTCTGTCCGCGTTTGGGTAGAGAAGCATAGAGAAAATGAACCCGCCCCGCATTACAAAGCGTGCGTGTCCCAAAGTGCATCCTCGTGGGCGACAGTGTTGTTCCTGATGCTCTTTAGTAGTCTCCGCTCGTCTCAGGCCAGAACGAGCTACCTACCAAAGCCCATAAGACATATCAGGCATACTGTTGCTTTTTCGTTTGTGATTTCCACCTAAGCCGGGTTACTAGAAGGGGGGTCTTCCAAGTAACGCGGATACACTGGCAGCAGAATACTGCCAGGTCGTCGATGGATATCTTTTCTTTTTCTTTCTTTCCCCATCCGCCCCCCTTCTCTTTTTTTTGGTCTATTTCGCTTTCTCTCTCTGGGTGTGTGTTATCCAGTTTTCGGTACGGTACGAGATAGTCCGCGTTAGAGGAGAACGTCAAACTTGAAGAAGTGAATTGGCCTATTGGTCAGTGGATCAGAGGCAAAAGATGCTACCAATGCTGACGCAGTAAGACATGACTCTTAATTAGGGTCGAGAGCATGATGGTATGGTACGCTTGCGTCCAAGGTCCATACTCAACCGGCAGCCGTGACAGAAGCTTGCTGGCGCTTGGCGGGTGGTTCTTGATTTTCCTACTCAATGTGTCAGCTGTGCGCTTACCAAAGCTTCGCTGATCTTGCGATGAGCCCTCCGGCGTGGCCGTGAACTAAACCAGTGTAGTACCTCTGAAGCACTTCTCTTTTTAATCTGTGCAGCGCCATTCGCGTTCGTGTTGGCGTTCGGATTAACGTTCGGGTTGACACGCTTCTTCTGAGGCTTCTGAGGCTTCGTTTCGTTGGGATCAAAGACGTCGTCGGGAAGGTTGAAGCTATGCTGAACTTAGCGAATACCATCAAAGGGAGCATATCTGTCTTTTTCGCCTACCTCCGCACATGCTGGACATTCAATGAGTTGAGAGTCGCATCATACTTCTCCCACTGCGTACATAGAGCTTTGAAGTTCTCGACCTGATAAGACAGATCAAGCGATTTCGCACCTAGATAGTCAGCTTCCATGCTACTTTGAGCCAAACAGGGGGGAAGCGTGAAAAGCCCGGGTTTCGAATTTGTTGTCGTGAGCGGACTTACCGTCGCTGAGGGTCAGCCCGATGTAGTGTGTGGTGGTGAAGACGTCTGTGTAAGGGTTATGCTTCGGTATCGGACTGAGAGCATTGGACTCATCGCCTTCCGGCTTGATTCCTTCCATCTTCACTCCTGGCTGTGTCTCATCTTCTTCAGCCTTAAGCCCAGGTATGTCATTGGATTCCGTCTTGAGCCCTGGGATGCTTCCCAATTCGGGTTTCGTGTCAACCGTTTCCACTTTGACCTCTGTCTTGACTTCTTCCTTGACCTCTTCCTTGATGACCTCTTGTTTGATGTCGCTGTCCTTTGCTAGGAACGAGAAACTTCCAGCTTGAACCTGGGAAACTTCTCCCTCGTTTGCGCATCTGTGCCGACGCTCGTAACCTTTGTTGAATGCATGGGCCAAAGCTATCGATGCGTGCTGTTCCAAGCCTTGAACCAAAACACGGACCTTGGATTCCACATAGCCTGACCAGACCTTGTGTGCTTCCTTGTCTGTGCTGGCAGTGATGACTGAGATGTAGTACTTGTATCCCTTGGTGAAGAAGGTGTGCTTGACAAACAGATCGCTCCAGGGGCTTTTGCCCATCATAATGTTGTCGGTAATGTCGCACCCTCTGGAGAGCTCTTGCGAGATGACAGTCATTGCTGACCGGGTAATGTTGTAAGTGGCGCACATGGAAGGGTAGGCGGGGGTGATGACGGGCATGAGATGGAATTGATCTCCCTTGTACAACTAGATGCTGAGTTTAGCACATACGGAGTCAGGGTTAGTGAAGTAGGGAGTGCAAACCTTGGGGTTCCAAACGCGGACCTGCAACGGGCCGGGTTCAACGTGCTTCAGAAGGACAGGCTGCGGCCATGGCCACCGGCGCATGATGTGGAAGAATTTATTGACGATGACAGAGCTTGCGGCCTTGGGATATAGCTGGCAGACGCGGGCAACCAGCATAGCCCAAGCCACGCCACCAGGAAATCCCATGATGTTGGCGTAGATAGCCCGGCGCTGTGCCCAAAGCTTGATAGCACGCAAGGCCAACTTGAAGGTGGTTTCCTCGGGAACCAAGCTGAGAATCTCGTCTGTGACTCGTGTGCCATTGAGCGATCGCAGCTCCGCCTCGTCCAGCCCTCGAAGCAGGCTGGAGTCCTGAACACTGAACTCCTTGTTTAACTGCTTTAGCATGGCAATGCGAGAGAAGATCAGGTCGATGCTGATGCCGGAAAACTCGAATTTGATAATCGGAACGAAGGCGTCGGCTACCACAGCCATGTCTGTAATTGAACCAGGAGGCGCCATTTCCTTCAGCAGGTTGGGGAAGATTTCGAAGTAGTCGGCGCGGGTAACGTATTTCGGGGCGACGACGAGGGTGTCGATATCGGAGCCAGGACCAAAGACGCCCAAACGATAACTGCCATATGTGAAGATCTTTCCCCTGGCATCTCTGATGAGAGCTTCGTTGCCTGCCTCCCTCTTCCGGGCCACTCGTTTTACAAATTCGTCGCAAATCAGCTGGAGATGCCTGAGAACATCCTCTCTATATTCAACCACGCAGATCGTTAGCAAGAACAGGCACGAAACATCCGGCTGTCTGCCAAAAGATGCAAACTTGCCTCTTTTCGGTATCCGCAGCGCTCTCGAAGGTATTCTGCTTCCTCAACTCTTGCAGGAGCGTCTCCTTCGCTTGGTTTTCCGCCTCAGTGGGAAGAGCAGTGGAGATGGGCGGCGTCACGCCCAACGGTCTTTCCTCGCTAGCCATGACTGACTGTTGCTTTGGAAGAAATAGAGACGATAAGTAAACACAGAAGGACTGGCCTAGCTGAAGAAGCGACGGTTGGGCGAACCTGGCGATGGAAGGAGGATAAGAAAAGAAGATGTAATGAAGAAAGGAAAATGTTGTCAAGAAGGAAGCTTACGCTGCGAAAACAACCAAGCCGAAGTAGGCGTCGCTGCGATAACTTAGCCCCAACTAGATAGATGGTCGCCAAGTACCTTGCAGCTGAAGAGCCTAGTACCTTTCACCTCTAGGACGCAAGGCACAAAGGTCTGAGTGAGGTAAGGCAAGGTAAGGTAGATGGTCAAGGCTGTTCAAGTGGTAGCCAGGGAAAGCAGGCGCGTCTGCACAGTGGAGAACAGACCTAAAGCAGGCCGACTTCAATTAGCCAATGAATGGTGGTACACCCGACCCACACACTTTCTACCTAGGTAGGCATGCTGGGCAGTGGGCCTTTTACGTTCATGGTGGCACGCGGTTGTGAGAATAAATAGCACACTAAGGTCATCTCTACTTTTTCGACCAAACTCACAAATTCTTTCTGAATTTAAACTTAATATTAATATTATATAGATAGGTTATAAAACTACTTAATATTTATTTAATATTCAATAATACTTTTTAGATTTTTTAAACGTGTTTAATTACCTCTTTTGGGGTATTTATACTGAAACTTGCTTGTATATGTGCCACTTTTCTGACAACCGCGTGGGTGGTCAATGTCACCACGACTGAAAGGCCCTGGGCGAGCCTTACTATCCTATCAACTGCTAGATGGCGTCAATATATGTACATGTACTTTCATGAAAGATGATAATATGATGTATATGACAGAGATACGTATATGCTAGTATACACCATTAAAGGGTAGTTACGTACAGGGATATTTGCAAAGAGTGAGCTATTTTACGCACTGACGTGCCTAGAAGAATTAGAAGAACCAATGTTGTTTATTACGTTAGCACCTTTTTCCTCATATCTGCCTTCGAAGAATTCAGAACTCGAGCAGAACTACCTAGAGTGAGACTGGAAACGATTGCTAATGCCATCTAGCAGTTGATTGAATAGCTGCGCATGCCGAATAAGGTAGGGTATGTATGCTCCAGAGTCACTATCATTCCATGTAAAACGCCTTCTCCAGATGCCACCATCGATCCAGTACTGCCGCCTTCGACTCTAAACAAGTAACCACGCCAAACCACCCAGGATCCCAATGCCGCCAACCATTTCCAACGTCTTCCAACCCTTCCATCTAAAGTCGGCATTAAGCTGAAGCAAACCCAAAGGATCCTGATGTCTTACAAGCCCCCAGTCTACGCCAGAGCCTGTACTGTGTCTCCTCTTCCGAAGGGACTGCCGACGTTCACCCCTTCCCTTAGTTCTTGTCAACGCCATATCTGCGCCATCACCGCCAGAAGCAGAGCGGCCATCTCTCCAAGCTTCCCTCGACAACATAGCCGCGTGCTCCCATGCCCTACGCTCTTGCACCCGCTTTTCGTTGGCCAGACTACGTTGTAAATCTGCCGCCCAGTTTGTGAGCTGCACTCGGCAGAGTCGTTCGTCACGAGTAGCATAGTTTGGAACGCGACTCATGGCAAGAGGCGTCAGTGATCCGGCCCGAGGACGCATCAACCACATATCCCTTGAGCCTTCTGACTTCGAGGCGAAGCCGGAGACATTACTGGGGCCAGGATGACGAGTGCGCCAACCCAAAAGCTTTGCTGCTGCCGCATGGCGAAGCCAGGTTGCGCCATTCGCGCAAAATATGTTTTCCATTAGCTGTGAGAGATCGGAGGGCACAAGAGGTTGCAAGTATTCGGAGCTCATGAGCAGACTGGCGTCCATGACCTCAGAATCTGATCCCAACTCGCTAGAAGCAGCATAGATATGTTGTTCTCCCACAATTGTCGTCGATGGATCGAAGGAGAACAAACCGAGGCCAGCCTCAGCAAATTGTTGGGCAATGTGTTTCTTGGTTGCTGCTATCTGCTCCGATGCCATGGTGTCGGCATGCGCGATGAGGGGTATGATATTTGTCAGGGCATCCAGTTGACGGAGATAATGTATATCAGTCGCGGACAAGCCTAAAAGTACTTAAGTGTTTGTGCTTTCAACTCTTGATAATGTAGGTTCTTACCTGAACTGGGGATCATGTAGAGCACTGCGTCAACAAGTAAGCCGCCACTTCCACTGATTGTTTTGAGAACATCGGGGTCCTCTAAACCGTCGAGGCGACTCTTTTGAAGGTACGATTCAATGTATTGTGAGACTTGGCCCATAGTATCTGTAGGCTATGATTCCGTTAGCTCGTTGTGTCTCGTGGAAGATCGAAGACTCGCAGAACATACGCAACATGTTTCCTGATATCCAGGCGTATCAACAAGACATATGTTTCTGTCTAATACTGTGTCCTCGGTTTGACTCGGAGTGGGCGCAAGGGATGTAAGGGCCGAATCTTTCCACCAGGATGGGTACGGCTTGGTGCTGGCTAGAGTCTCCGTGATCTGAAAAGTGCCCTGAGATATTGGAGGGCTATTCGGCATCGTCTTTTCTGGCAGGAAACCTTTGGACGCCATTGCTACCGGCACAGTAGGGTCAACGTGTACAATGTGCGTGCAAGTTTGTGTTATACTTCGGATCAAAGCCGTCTTCCCTACGCCTGGAAGCACATGTTTTATTAGCGAATGCACCATTATTGGAGGCAAGTCATCATTCAATACCTGATCTGCCAGCTACGAGAAGCCTAAGCCTGCCAAGGCCCTTCCCAGCTTCTGTGAAGGGTCTCCGACTTGGGACGTTGATGGTGGGCATAATGAACTGCTGAGCAACCTCGCCACTGTATATGCTTTGGGGGCGACCAGCGTCCGAGGTCCCGAAGGCGCTCATGACAAAGCTTTCCTGGTATTCGGAGAGCGATCCAGCTAGCGAGGTGGGCCGTGACGAAGAACTGCTGATAGCGGAGCATGGTCCTGACACGCCATAAAGTATGGGTGTCATAGGTTGAGACAGAGACGGTGGAGGAGGCGTCTGTATCCCCGCTGGTGATGGATTGCTGGTACAATTTGGCCGATGAGAAACGGCATCATGGGGTTGCAAAGACGATGTATATCGCGGAGTAGGTGGTGGAGCTGTGCCAGAGTCACGTTTCTGCGCTGATCCGTCGCCGGGGGTCGCGGATGTAGCTTGTTTCCGCTGTTCACGCAGTCGATGAGCAGAAAGGGAATGCGATGGCAAGGAGGCTTCCATGGTAGCTTCGTCAGCGAGGATGAAGGACATTTGTGAGGCGGTAGATTGTGAAGCCGAAGCGAGGCTTTCGGTGGCCCCATCACCTGAGGAGACATTCCCCGGGAACGAGTCGCATCCAGCTAAGGGTCGCATATCGACGCGATAGTATCATCAGATCGTTACTAGTTGGAGCGTATATGTGGTTCACGTTGATATTGAAAAAAGCTTCGCAGTAGGGCTCTCAAGCGCCACCTATGCATCTAGTAGCGTTGACGGAAGACCAGGCCGAGATAGTAAGGTAGGGAGGTAGGTAAGGTAATCTGGAAAGTTAGGTAGTGTCGTTGACCGACGAGACGAGAGGGGTCCGATGGCGATAAGGTCATCCCGCAAGGGTGGAGAAGCGATAAGAGGCCCAAGTGGAGCAAGTGACTCCTTCTGTGCTAGTGCGGGGTGATAATGGAGAATGGGGGCGGCGGGAAACAGCTGGTCGGTCACCAGTCCCTTGCCCACGCGCCGAACCTACCTAAGGTGAGAGCCGTTGATTTGCTTTGCCTTTATAACGCGCCAAGCTAGGTACACGTTGCCACAGCAAGAAAGTGATGTTGATTCTAATGCTATGTAGCATTTTTTTTTTCTAAAAAAAAAAAAAAAGTCCTTTCATTATACTCTTCAAGTCAAGTTGGTCTTTCTCTAAAATCTGTCTCAGTTGTAGCTTGGAAAAATGTACTTTAATTATTGCATCGGTACGGAGAGCAAGACGGCAAAATTGGGTAGTAGGTGGTGGGGTCCTGGTCTCCTCTTCACGTCTCCGCAAGGTGCAAGGTCGACCGACAGGCTGAATGGGACACTAACCACGCCGCTTCCGCACCACTTTCTGTCGTCACTTCTTTCAGCTCCGACAACAGTTTGAACAGACACTTGGTTATCCGCACTGCACTATTGCTTGATCATTCCATTAGCAGTCGACCACAAATCACACTGTTGAATCCAAGCAAATCAGATACAGAGTTTTCAGGCAACCTTACTTGTCGTGCGAGCCCCTATCGCAGCACACATCTTGAGCCGGCGCACATCGCAGCTCTCTAATTATTTCCCTCTCCCAGTCAGCCTCGTCAACGCCTGCCTCTACGATCCAAAGCCGAGCCTCAGAGCCTTGTTCTTCGGACCCGTTCATAACGGCGAAACCCTTCCGCAATACCCACATCCTCAACATCATTGTCAGCTCCCACCAGCAGACATGGACGGCAAGAGACACCCAAGCTCGTTCCAGCAGCTTGAGAAGCTTGGCGAGGGCACCTATGCCACTGTATGCCCTTTCAGTTCCACAGCTTCATTTGTTTAGAGACTGACTGTTTATTGGTAGGTATTCAAAGGTCGCAATCGGCAGACAGGAGAGCTCGTCGCCCTCAAGGAAATCCACCTGGACTCGGAAGAAGGCACCCCCTCGACGGCGATAAGGGAGATCTCGCTCATGAAGGAATTGAAGCACGAGAATATTGTCGCCCTTCACGATGTTATCCACACCGAGAACAAGCTGATGTTGGTGTTCGAATACATGGATGGTGATCTTAAGAAATACATGGACACCCATGGCGATAGAGGCGCCCTAAAGCCTCACCAGATCAAGTCGTTCATGTATCAACTGCTGAGAGGCATCGACTTCTGCCACCAGAACAGAGTTTTACATCGAGATTTAAAGCCCCAGAACCTCTTGATTAACGGCAAGGGACAACTGAAGCTTGGGGATTTCGGTCTTGCTCGCGCCTTCGGCATTCCCGTCAACACGTTCTCAAACGAGGTGGTCACATTGTGGTATCGTGCACCGGATGTCCTTTTGGGCAGCAGAACGTACAACACTAGCATTGATATTTGGTCTGCGGGCTGTATCATGGCGGAAATGTACACGGGCAGACCGCTGTTCCCTGGCACAACAAACGAGGACCAGATCATTCGCATTTTCCGCATTATGGGAACCCCAACCGAACGGACCTGGACTGGCATTACGCAATTCCCCGAGTACAAGCCCACTTTCCAGATGTACGCCACTCAAGACCTTCGCCAGATTCTTCCTCAGATCGATCCCACGGGCATTGATTTGCTCCAAAGAATGCTTCAGCTACGCCCTGAACTTCGCATCAGTGCTCACGAAGCCCTCAAGCATCCCTGGTTTAACGATATCGTCATGCAACAGCATCAGCAGCAAGCTTTGCAAGCACAAGCTAGAGCCTACCCAGGGCAAGGGTCTTACGAAAATTACTGATTCTCGAGCTTCGAACCGCGGCTAGGCGCCCGCATGCATTTGTGGTTTAGGGGTTTACAGGAACGGGGATCTGCTATGCATCATAGGCATCGGCAGCGACGAGTGATAACTTCAAGGCGGAGGATACAGTATTGTTGGCAGCCTTTGCCAAGGGGCATTGCGGGCGTTACTGAGGACTGCGCTTATTTCGGCGTTGTGTGCGGAAACGAGGATGATTATGACAGTCGCGAGTATCACTTGCAACCAAGTAGTAAAGAATGCATTCCAAGAGTTCCGCTTATTGTATTTTTACAAGGTGTAGAAGATTATATACATGGCGTGCCCTCTATGAGCCGCCATTCAAGTCGAAGTGTCGTTATTCTTTGTGAACCAGGCTGTCATCTACAGGACTCTTGAATTGCTTGTCCTTGGGCTCGCGCTCCCATGTCTCGGCGAGAGCGTATGCCGGGTTGTCTCGAGGATAACCCGCACTTATCCTCAACTCTTGTACCATGTCTCTGACAGTCTTGGCGACCTCTATACGCAGCTGAATCGCTTCAGGATGGTTCTTCAGGGACTCTGGTACTTCCCCGACGCTCAATGGTTTGCCTCGGGCCTCCACTTCTTTCTGCACAATGCGTTTCCACTTTTGACGCTGCTCTTTGAAAGCCTCGCCCACTTCAAGGGCCTCGCCGTAAAAGACGCGGATCTTGGCACCGATGCGTGGAAGGAATCGCAGCCATTTCCTGTCCTCTGGCATGATGTCTGAGAAACCGTCGATGAACATGGGAACGAGCTGGGGAGCCGGGTCGGATTCGAGAATCAACCGTGAGACACCCCACTTGAAGTATCGGAGGGTCCGTTCGGGGTTCTGGTGTGTACAGCCTTCTGGGAACACGTGAACCCACGCGCCGTGTTTGCTTCTGTAGAAGGTGGGCGCGGAGAAGGTCTCGTTGTTCCCAGCTTCAAAGGCCGCTTTGAAAGGAAACAGTGCTCCAGGGCCGGATACTAAGCGAATCGCCTGGGTCATGGTGGGTTGGAATAAGCCGCCATAGGGTGAGTGCAGCAAGCGATATGTCGGCAAGACCTGGCCGAGTGTGAAGAATGTTTTAAAGGCACTGTCATCTTGTCAGGGGTAGCTCCTCGTGATCAAACTGAAAGATGGTATTCTTTACCGGTTCTTGAAGCAGATGTCATGAGCCCCTAGACCCCATCTCGCACTCAGACAGTACATATTGTACTTAAGCGGCAGCACACCCCAAATCAAGGGGTCATCTAAACTGTTGATTCAAGGTTTGTCAGCTCGACACGAGAGACAGAATCTTTTCTAAATAACTCACACGCTGATGTGGTTTGATACTACAATTGATGGCTGTCAGTCATGACTTCGGTCATCTTAGAGAAAAAGGAAAACGGGCAAGAAGTACCAGTGATGAGGCCACGCTCAGGGGTTTCGGCTCGACGCTTGTCTAGAACTTCTAAGAAACGAGCTTGGTTCTCGGTCTGAACGTCATGAAAGCTGTATAGGAAGGCTCTAGAGATGGCACCAGTGAGGCCCATTATAGCCGAAGACGCCATCCGCCATGGCAGACTTGGCTCACTCGGCCTCTCCTCCAAGGCTGTCATGTTTTCCTACGAGTATGGCGCGCGTGTGAAGACAGTTTTTGACCTTACCCGGCCCGAATTCGTGCAATGAGGGAAAGGGATGAAAAGTGACCGAGTGACAGTAGGTGACACGGTGATTGGAGCGAATCAACCGCGTCATAAATCCACCTCTTCGGGCCAATGACAAACACGTGATTAGGAAAGGTAATTGACAAAAAATTCACACGCCGTGTATGAACAGTAAGAAGAAGATCGTATAGGCCATTGGCACTCCGAGTTTGGCTGTCGATTGGAATCAAGATGAGAATCGAAAGAAAAAAAGCTGTCTGCCTTACATTAGAGTGGGTCGCTGTAGAACAATCATCTCGCTAAGAGGGTAGACACGCTCGGTATGTGCATATGTATCCGTACCGCCGGCACGGCTCATCGCGCCTGAGCCATGTTCCCTGTCATTTTGAGGTGTCTTTCTGCTTTGCCGAGACAATGGTATCCTTACCTGCCTCAACTCTCTTACCCACTCGTCTATTTAGATACCTTGCTTTAGTACTTGACTTCTTCACAATCGATCACTTCATTCCTCAAACCAACCAGATCGATGGTCCAAAGTCGTCGAACAGCAAGACATTCATAGTACGCCTGTAACGCCAGGGCTGACAATTTTCCTTGCTCGATTCTTGCAGATTTATCTGTATCACCAAGTTCCCCGTCACAATCAACACCATGGCACACAGTAAGCCCCAACTTTCAAGACGGCCCCCCATATGTATTTGCTCATAGTTCTAACGGCATCTAGGCAAACGAAATACGTCGCGTGCCGTCTTCACCTCTTACGAGCGTGATATGGCCAAGGCTGCATGGGCATCTAACTCAGCCCGTTTGTCGCGAGACTCTTTCCTCCCCTTTGGCTCCTGCTACCTCTGCCTTGAGATAGCCAGGGACCCAGTCTCATGTAGTCACGGCGACATTTTCTGTCGAGAGTGCGCCGTAGCCAATCTGCTCGCGCAGAAGAAGGAGATCAAGCGCGAGGAAAAAGCCCGGGAGAAGGTTGAGCAGGCGACCTTGGAGGCGCAAGCACAACAGGATGCCGAAGCCCAAGTACGCGCTGTCAAGGACTTTGAAAGTATTCAAGCAGGGTTGAAACCATCGTCTGCTGCGACGGCATCTTCCTCATCCAGTCTACCGACCAAAGTGACGGCAGCCGAGGGCGCTGACGCCAACCCCACCAGAGACATTCAGATCACAAAGAGAAAATTTATGCTGGACCAGGACGAGCTGGACAGAATCGCCAAGGAGGATCGCACGAAGGCCAAAAAGTTGATTAAAGACGAGAAAGTATGCTACCATCTACCCTAAACCAAGATTATGCAATTGTTCCGTGCTAATTCCACTCAGGCATCCAAGGAGAGTATACCGTTCTTCTGGACACCATCGCAAACACCGGACGCCAATGCAGCCCGTCTGGCAGAGGGTTTGGCAGCCGCTCCCAAGAAGATTAAGCTTGCGCCCATCTGCCCGGCTTCGGCAGACGATTCCCGGCACTCCTTGTCACTCAAGAGCCTCACTCCGCTCCAATTCAAAGAAGAGCTCGACACGAAAATCAATGCCAGCCGGCGCATCTGCCCGTCCTGCGTCAAGACACTCGGCAATGCCTCGCGACCTCTCATGGCCGAGAAGTGTGGCCACGTCATTTGCCGCAACTGCGCCGTGAAGTTTATGACTCCACAAGAAAATGCTTGCTATGTTTGCGATGCTAGGCTTCCGGCAGCCCGTCCAGACAATAAGCAGAAAGAGCCCAAGCAGGAGTTTGCTGGGTTGATAGAACTCAGATCCGAGGGCACTGGCTTCTCTGCTCGGGGAGCAAGCAAAGTTGAAAGGAGCGGCGTCGCTTTCCAATGCTAAAACCATCATGCCCATGACCTACGCATCATGGCTGATATGAATTGGAGACGGCACCGTCCATGCGCTGTTCGTTAAAATGACTGTCTTGCATGCTCGAGCATGCTCTCAGAGGCAGTCATGGAGCACTGAACCCTCGTAGCCTCGGAACGACGAGAAAATGAACAGAAACCCTTTCATCGAAGTCTGAGTAAAACCCGTCTCAGGTGCTGCAACTTGACATCGCGCGACTGTCTCTGTGATAAGGACACCAACAGAAGACCAAGGCGAATTACAAACGTGTGAATGACGCCTTTGGATACCATCGTCAGGCCATGGCTGAAGAAGCTCTTGAGCACTTCGCCCTGGAGCCCGGCGTATAAGGCCGTTATTCCGTCAGTTCTGGCAATGGACAAGACGATGGCAAGCACGCTATTATTAAGCGCCTCCCTAGTCTTGGCCAGCGCACCTGAACTAGAAGGCTCCTTGCCGAGGTCCTCGGCGTGAGGTCTTTCTTGGGAATCGGTGCTCCTCCGCGGCGAAGCAGTACCGCGCATCTGTAGTCTGGCCTTGGCCGTCTGTATGGGATAGCTGATGATGGTCGCAATGGATTTGCTCGCGGCAGCGAGGAGGAATGTAGTATGCGTGTTGTGCGTGGCTTCGTCTGAGTCCGGTAGTAGGGTCTTTCCTAACTTGTCATTGAGGAAGAATGTGATGCTAGGGTTGATTGTCAACAGCAACGAGGCAGAGTAACCGGCCCAGAGACCAGCCACGCCGTTCTCTGCGCGAATCGACGATAGAATCTCCCAGACCGACGCGTCCTCGCCCCCTTCGTTGCCCTCAATCATTGCCGACGTCTGTTTCCGCGCGACCACGTTCGCAATGGGCGTCGTGCAGGCCCTCGCACAGGCGCCCGCCAACGCGCCCACCGCCAACTCGTCCAGGACCGACAGCCGTTTTCCACGCGAGCGACGGCGCGTACCTCGAAAATACTCGTAAAAGAGAAAGAAGAGGAATGAGTCCGCGATGGACTTGAAGACGTCTTGGGCGAGACCCGTGTAGAGCGCCGATATGCCGCCCTCCTGCGCCGTGATAGCTCTCATGGCTTGCACTACGCCCTTGTACTGGTCCTTTTCGGATATCGCATCCTCGCTTCGTAGCTGCCGCTGAACTTTGAGGCGTGTGGTGACGAGGTCGAGGGGATATACTGCGGCTGTCGAGAGGGCGGTTCCCAGAGCGCCGGCGAGGGCGTGGCCGAGGGCATCGAGGACGCCCGCGGGCGCCATGATCTCGGGAGAGTAGTATCCGATTTGGAAGGATGATAAGTCTGGTTCAATAGCGAGGAGTAGATACCATGCAAATGTAACCAGAAGAACGAAGAGGCGGGAGACACTGCAGGTCGGCGCAGTTCAGTAGATCCTTGTTGTTCTATGCGACGTGTGTAGACAGTATATAATGCAAGACGAATATCATGTAAGTGGCAAGAAGCAGAGATCAACGAGCTCAAAGATCGAAGACGGAACCCCTCCGTCAATGGGGCAGATGTGTAGGTAGTACCGAGGTCAGCTCGGCGCCGATAGTGCTTGCGGTCACGGCGAAAATCCGGGGTAAACTAGCCTGGTTACAACGACGTCATCATCGCGTGAAAGTGTTGTAGCGGCGCTAATCCACAGACGGGGGTGGCTTTGGATGCGCAAAACAACAGACCCACCGCCTTTTCAATCCCAGCTTTATATCACATGCCTCACGATTGACGGTTCGCATCGTTGGATCTGGATGGCATCTCTACGCCACGGCACGCGGGATTGAACTTCATTATTGTTTCCCATGCTTTTGTGAACTGGAAGTAGCAGATCTAGTTTTTTTTTTCTTCTTTAGACTTGTCATCCTTTGCGTCTTACATCCGAAACGCATCCTTCATATGTATACACACATTCGCTGCTACTTTGCCCTCCGTAGCAGCGAGGAAGAGACCTAGTGCAGATGCCACCAAACGCCGCTGCTGAAACAGAAACCAATGAGCAATTCGAGAAACAGAGAAGGGGGAAAAGAGAGAAGCAACTTCTTTCCAGCTGCGACCAATTGGTATACCGCCTAAGTTCATAACGCCGTCCGTCCTTGTCGTAAAATTTGCACGAGACCGCCTCAATCCACAAAGAAAATCCAACGCTGTACCCGCCTGGCAAAAGTGTCTGGGGAACGTGACAGGTGAGCTTCTTCCCCGCGCCCACGCCATCACCACCCTATCCTCTGCTTGTTACAGACGGCCGTCGCTGGGGATGGCTTTGGATGCTGAAGCTGGAAGACCTGCGGGCGCCTCCAAAGTTCACGTCCTCAAGCTCGCCTGGCGCGTCCTCCGTGTCGTTAAGTCCCGGGTGGCCATGTGGCAGTCTCTGCGCCCCAAAGCCGTTGACTTTGAAAATATTTGTCCTTCCGCCGTTCGTCGCCATTTGCAGCTGCTCATGAAGTCGAGCGAGTTGATACTGCCTCTTGATAGGAATGAGTACTGGTTGCGGCACCACGGGTTGCGGATTCCAGTGCGCCAGCGCACTCATGACAGCGGCCGTTTCTTCGTCCGAATCAACCGGCCCGGCGTTGGCTTCGTCTTCGTCCTCTAACGGGGCATTGGCGTCGAGAGCAGCCTCTGTGATGATTGATGATCAGCGAAATTCTCCCTAAATTGTTCAAGGAACCACGTACTCTGCTGTTTGGCCTGGTTCTTCTTCTGGTACGCCGCCAGAAGCATGTCGTAGGGTAGAGATCTACCAGCAACGGCACGTTTTGCACCCATGCTATGACTCTTACACGTAAGAGATCTTGCGCAAGGCTGTCCGTTGGGCAACAGAACACCACATTGTCGTTCAACATCCACGGGACCTATACCTAGTTAGAAACCAGAGATAATTCCCGCTGACACAACACTCCGTACCTTTCGGTTTAGGGGCCTTTGGCTTTGGTTCTTCCTTCTTCTTTTTTTGCTTAGGCCCCTTTTCCGCGTCTCCGTCCGCTTTGCGCTTCTTGCCCTTGCCGGTATCGCCGTCGGTCTTCTTCCCCCCAGTCTTCTTTGCGGTTTTGTTACCGGTAGCCTTCTTGCCGTCGCCGGCATCTTCGTCGCCATCGCTGTCATCGTCACCCTTGCCATCTGGATCCTCGTCTGCCTTTCTAGCTTCCTCTTCACGTGCAGCTTCCTTGGCTCGCTCGCGGGCTTCTCTGGCCTCTTTTTTCCGCTGGGCCTTCTCTTTCTTCAGCTTGAGACACTGGGCAATGTGGGCCTTGGCGGCTGTTTTGAGGATGCTCTTCTTGCAGTGCTTGCATTGTTGTAGGTCAGGGGTATCCTCCAGCGGCCGGCCAGTAGCGAAGGCTTCGCGCGCGATGTCATCGAGGGGATTAACGACGGGCCCGGGAGAAGCGACGGATATTGATGCGGATTCGTCTTTCTTGGATTTCTTATCTTCTGGTGGTGGTCACATCGATCAGTCTCCGAGTCTAATTTCCGTCGCGCGGTCCGGGTCGACTCACCTTCGACAATGCTTCCTTCTCTCCAGTTTCCAGGTTTGTTATACTTGGGCGCGGGTTTCTTAAGCTTGATAGGGCCATCGGGCTTGTTTTTGGGGTCCTTCTTCGATGCGACTTTGATCGTCTGCTCGTCGTCTGTATGCACAAGCTATGGTCAGCGTATTGTCACAGCTACGATGGAGTTTGAGGGGCGGGAGCATTACTCTTTTTAGAATCAGAAATGGCGGCCATCGTGTCAGTAGGCTTCCGCGCCTGGTGAGGTGGCTTGGTGCGGTAGTGGCGGCTGAAAGCGATGCGACCGCGATGGAGGGGTCTCAAAAGGTTGTGGGTGGCGATGGGTCACTTTGACTACGGAGACGCGAGATATCAATGTCCGGCGATGAAACTCTGCCCGTGAGGGTTACTTCATGGCAGAAGACTTGGAAGGAATCTTGAATGTCTCATCGGATAGCAGGCGATACTGATTTGATGGCCGATGAAATGATTGCGATGCGCCGCGCCCTGGCCCTGTCGTAGCCGTCGTCGAATGTCGTCGTCTGGCCGCCTTTGGTTCGGTAAGGTAGGAAGACGGGGGCTGTCCCAGTGGAGGTCACGCGTGGGAGCCTCGGGTCTCCACATGTAAGAGCTCATAGGCCATCTCCCGCTTGGGCCGTGCTAGCAGACTGTGCCTCGACTAATTACGCACTGTCGACATATCAGAATATCGTTCCTCACTTCCACCCCGAATACGGTCAAGAGAAAGGAATATCTATTTTTCGTTTACTAACTCAAACCACATAGATATTGTGAAGATAGATATAAATGTAATCAGGTTATTATCAACATTGCGAAGTGCTGATAGTATTGGAACTCATCGGCTATGTCGTCGAGGATTACCTCGTCAAGAACTCTTGCAAGTCACCTATTTAGTCTGTCGCTCACCAAGTTGCTCCTGGTTATCTCTCAGACCTAAGATTTCATCAAGTTGTCATGTCATTTTTCATGCAGCTCGGGAGAAGATATCCGCTTCAAAACCGATGGTATCAACCAGTCAGACCTAACCGCTGCTCCGGACCCTCGCAAAGCCGTCAAAACCAAAACCCATCCTTATACCCAATCCCATTGCGCCATTTCCCTTTTCCGGTTCCCCCGTCTACCAGTCGTCTGCCAAAATCCCAGCTGCCCCAGTTCTCAGCACCGTGTCTTCGTGCGCTCGCATGGCTTCCATCATCGATCTTGCGTGCAACATCCCCATGTCGCCCCAAATTGTTTGGATGATTCCCAACGCCCATTCCCAATATTCTTTGGGCACGCCAGGAGCGCAGCCCGCCACTTTTAGATGGAAGAGCAACGCCGGCAGTCCTGCTGATCCAGCTCCTCCTCCGCCGGGACTTTCCACTGTTATTTGCGCCGGTCCGTCTAGGGCCGGGTGTCGCCAATGTGTCGGCGCACTAACAAGTATATCCCTGGCCAATTGTCGAATCAAGTTCAAAAAGTTGTCCCGCGCAGCCGCTGATACCAGTGATAAACTGGACACCGGATTCTTGTTCGTCAGATCCAGCAAATTCTGATTGACTAGAATTCGGCACCATCGGTAGTAATTCCAGATTCGAGCGGTCCAGACGTCATGGTATTTGTGGTATTCGCACTGGAATACCGCCTTGGGAGGGAGATGGGTAGCGTGGACGGTGCGGTAGATCCAATCCCCCTCCAGCCCATTCTCCCACGAGGCCAAATCTTTATCAAGATCTAGAAGCTGCTGAATCACGCTGGCCGTCTTTGGTTTTCCATCACTGATGACATGATTGTGAATGATCGACGATGTTTCAACGAATCGAGCAATCAGAACGGCTAGGTCGGTCGATGGTCGGTCGATGGGCAGCTGGAGTTGCGAACCGTAAGAAACCCAGTCGTAAAAGTCCGGTGGCATGGGCATGCCAGCAACGTGTAGAGGAATGAACTGCAGAACAAGTCAGGTTCACGGAACAAATCAAATCATCAGGGGCAATTACCATTGAGTAGCAAAGCTGCAATAAGGCTCTGAAGCCTGCAAAAGGAGCACTGGGCATGGGACACCAGCTTCTCATCAACGCAGCTCCACCCATAACGTGAGCGTGTACGGTGCTTGTGGAGTGATGCGTTCCTTTCACGACCTGTGCGATCGAGAAACCATATTAGCCAACATGAACAACAGTCACAAGCAAAAGATGCATGGCCCTGGTAGAGAGAGAAGAGTAGGCGACGAACCTCAAACATGGCGAGGGCCACCACGGCCCTCATCGTCACATCTATGCTCGGTGTATGCGGAGGCCGGATCAGCTTTCCCGTGTGTCGTAGTGCTGAACCATACTTCTCTCGCGCAGTAGACATCATCTTGGGGTTGCCAGTCAGGTTGTGCAGGCCAGCAAGGCCAACAGCGCACATGACGTCCTGTACTGCTGGGTGCCATATCCAACCCTCAGTGTTCAAGTCTTGGCCGTTTTTGGGTTCATCCGGATGCCCTATCAAGTACCTATTGACGTAGAACTGCACGCCCTGTTCCTCGAGAGTGGGACCAATCTGGAGTGTCGGAGGGCTGGACTCGCGGTTGTGTTCTTCCTTAACAGCTGGGAGCGCTGGCGGAGATGAAGAGCCTGCAGAGCGGTACGTTGACGAAGGCGAGGCGGAAAAGGATGCCGAGCTTGAAGCTGGTGAAGGTACGTTCGCGGCTCCTGATCGTGATGCAACCCTCGTACTGTTCGGCGAGCCCTTCCGGCTGTAAGCGGGCGAAGAAGCAGGCGGTGACGGGGCCGTCGAGGCCGAGGCGCGCTCAGCACCATTCTCAGCACCATCGGTGACTCCCCATTGAGCATGTGCTTTCTTGATCACCTTGGTGCTTTCATCGCGGAACATGAGCGAAAGTTGATCTCGATACCCCGGGCATTTCTTGCCCACGCGAATGCATTGTGAACATTCGGGTTTCACTTTGTCGCACTATGACGGGAAACTCTGTCAACCACGGTCCAGTTTTGGGCGATTTTGTCCAGCGACGAGGCTGGAAACTAGAATTGCCAAACTAGGGCCTTCTTCCAAAGAGCCGTTCGGGGGTTCAAGGGGTCATTGCTACACACCTTAATGCGACGGGTTCGGCAGTTTTGACAGCCCTGAGAGGCCTTGCCGCAGTAGACCATTCTCGAGGTGGATGTTTGGAGAACCTAGGTCTGGTAAGACCGCGGGATCAGAGAATAGTTTTGGTTGTTGGCTTTAGTGATTCGTTGAAAAGAGATGCAAGTAGGAGATTTGGGCGCTGGAGCACTCGGTCCATCACGAGTCGTTCGAAACACAGCGTGATGCCATCCGAATCCCGCTTCCTCAACCCCGCGGGCAGAGAATCAGGACGGGCAAGAGGATGTAGGAGCTCGACAAGAATGGTCAGTGAACCGATGTCTTGCGAATGTGCCCGGATATTGAAAAGTCAGCGGCTGCGAATTGCGGACAGTGGACGAGGCGAGAGGAAAGGATGGACAGATGGGACCGCGACAGGTCTTCTAGGAAAGAAGGGCGGCCGGTGCGTCTAGTAGAAGAGGACTATGGGGGTTGCTAAGTGGAGGTTTTGGGAGCTGTTCCAACCTTGTACCACGTTTGCGCGGAGCACGAGCAACAGAACATGAAGGTGAAGGGGTGAACAGGCAAGAGGAACAGCAGTATCCGTAAGGTAAGATAGGTACTTCGTACTAATGAGCCCTCGAGCCCTACGTATGCGGGATGAAAGGCGTTAGTTGAGTTCAGTGAGAGAGGGGAACGCAGGCGACGCAGGCTTGGAAGCTCCCGTCGCGGATCCAAATGGCACTAGGGCCGGGGTGGGACAAAGCAGCTGTGTCGCCAATGCTTATGAAGCCTGTAAGGCAGGGCGGATGGAAGGCTTAAGTCTGAGTTCTGGGCTTTTTAGAGTGTCTTGTTTTCCGCGTCGGTGACTAGTCTTGCAGATTGTGATTGACCAGGCTGAGAGAGGATAGGTGGGCTGAATCGATGGCCATTAACAGGAGAGAATCAAGGCAAGGTACGAGAAAGGAAATGCGAGTGAACAAATGAGAAGAAGGCGAGGATTTGGAGGTAGGATGAGAAGAAGTACGGCATTTGTGAGGAAGGGAAGCAGTGTGAACGTTCGTACACTCTAGAAGCGTATCCGTAGTCTGTACTGTAACTGTACGGTACCTCACGCTAGGCAAAGCAAAGCAGCCCAGACTCAAGTATGCATACCTTTGGGATACCTAGCACAGGGCAAGTTATGCTCCTCCAGCAGCAGATCCAATGCTGGGGAGGAAATGGGGGGGGGGGGGGGGCGGACCGCAGACGTCAGAGCTTTGCATTAGCACGTTCGCTGCGCCTGTACGAGGCAAAGGCTGTGCGGCAAGACAACATAAAGCAAGGTACCTAAGCAAAGTTAATTAATAATCAAAACATGGACGTACGAATACCTGTCCACTTGTCGATCGGTACCCGGTGGGAGAGGCTGAGCGAGGAAGAAGGGGTGAGGGAGACTGGAGTCAGAGTGATCTTAGAGACTTGGGGGACTGAACCTTGGCTGCTTCGCACACTTCGCACTTTCAGACGCAGCGTGGCAGCGAGCGCAGCAGTGTACGAAGTAGCTCGGACTTGGTAGAAAGCTCCGGGAGAGTGCAGCGGGATCTGTCATCGAATCCCGCCCCAGTCTTTGCCCTTGTCACCCGATCCCAAAGACCCAAAACCCTCGTTAGTGCGGCCATTGTATTCGGTACTTTGGAGGATTCCCCATGCTGCTTGGCTCAGTTGACTGGACCTCTATAACTCCGTACAAGGAAAGATCGCTTGAACCACCGACCTGCTGTGTGGTGTGTGTGATGTATTCGCGAGGCACGTACGGAAGGTAGTAATTATGCCAGAATCCCAGCATGGTACTTCCATAGAAGGACTGTAAAGTTTCCGAAAGGTCGGTCACAGGCAGGCTGCAGCACGTTGTTGGATCCTCCCACCCTCGACTCACTGTAGTCTTTCCAGATAACCCTAGGCATCATCTATGACATTTAAGCCGTGGGCTACTTGTGAGCCAAAGTCCCTTGCCATTCACGTCGACTACCTACAGATAGGACAGATAGGTACTCCGTACTACGCATAGAATAAGCTTGGGCATTGTCCGTTTTGACGTTGATGACGTGGGGCTCGGGCCATCGACACGAATATCTGACGCAGGTGCCAGTAGCCTAGACCTTGTGTCGAGTTCTATTGGAAGAGTAAGTACGGAGTAGGTTCTTCAGTGCTCAACTTCCCTCGCCTTGCACTATAGACTCGATCAACGTACGGACGATCTATTCCACGGCGTGTAACAAACAATGATGCAGCGTGGCAGCCCAGAAACCTGCGAGTGATGAGCTCAACACTCGAACTCAGTACCCTAAGCCTCTTTGGCATACGATATATTCTTGCCACTTGTAGGGGTGAATGTGTCAAACGTGGGCATGCAGGCACGCAAGCACGCTCCATGCTTCTTCTTCTTCTCCTTCTTGTATCTGACTCTTTCTCGAGCAAGCCAAGCAGGCCAAGGTATGTGATACACTCACCTACTCTAGGTAGGTGAAAACGCCCTCGACTAAAGATGGAGGGCATGTTCCTGGCAATGGGCACACACACAACTCACAATTCAGCACCATCTGCCTACAGCACAAGGTTCCGTGCCCTCTTCGCTGGATCACCATGTAAAACGTGCGTGGGGTGCCAGCGGCAAGTTCCTAGCGTGGCCCCCCTCTGGTGCTGCCAATCAAGACGACGCAGATCTTGCTGCATTGCAAATGAAACCGTGACAGACGACAGCCCTTACCTTGCCTGTATTCGAAATAGCGCCTGTGCAGGAAACATTCCCCCGGTTAAGCCGCGTCTCGGGGGCCGTAACTCTGTGCCTTAGTTCGTGGCCATACGGCAATGGTCCCCTTCACCATTAAGTGCAATATCGCCTGGATAAACTACCGTACCGTAGGTGATTCGTACAGTAGCAAAGTAATACTTGTTAAAACAAGTGGTGGTGCTGACAATGGATGCTATTCGACACCAGCACGCTCAAGTAGCTGTACTCCGTTACTCCGTACGGGTTCTTGACAATCTTCACCTCAGAGACCAATCATGCCTGAACCAGGTACGAGGTACGGCTACCTACGGTGTGTACCACAGCGAGTTACATTATTCCCGAGAGTTGCTGGCCGTGCTGCCCGGGCAGTTCTCCGTTTCCCGTCAGAGAGTGGACCATCAAGATGAACGGCCCAATCTCGATCAATCATCAGGGTCCTCCTCAACTTGCACCCCCGGCTCGTCCATCGGCATCCCTCCGCCTCCCCTTACGGCACGGAAAGCACCCCGAGAGGTTCGAACCCGCTGCCCGCGTACCGGGGATGTGCTGCACCAGTATGCTGTCACGGTCGAGGGTTGGGTGTGCAATATGCAGGCCCGTACAGTAGGCATGCAACACAAACAAAGTTGCCATCTGTACGGATTTCCCGTAATACCCTGTGGCTACATGTTTACCATCAACCCCATGTTCATTGCTGGCTGCATTGTACACCCACAATCTCATCAGGCACATTCTCTCTTCTTGGTTGTGTTCATAGGATGGCCATGCCGTCGCTCTCGACATACTCTGTTGCACGGTACAACAACCAATTGCCCGCTCGTGGGCACCGTATCTTGAGACTCATTTAGACTCAAAGTGGTGAAGATGTACCGAGCAGAACCTCGATACGTTGCCATCTTAAGGATCTCATCGGACACATATCAGAGCCTCGTGCCCGCCGGCTCTTCTTTGTCACACTTGCCTCAAAGTGAAAACCCGCCCCTCAAGGACATAGGTAGCAGGTAGAATGCCACTTGAAGGCCGATCTCGTTGTACCCGGCTGGTGGTTACGGATCACCGCCTACTGGCGAACTCCTGACAGGGTTAGTTTGGAATCATCAACGGCCGTTATTCCAGACTCGGTACTGTCTAGGATGCTCATCTGCAGCTGTATCCATATAATTGTGGCAAAACGTGTGAATTAATAATTGAAGTTCAAAAGACGGAACCCCCGACATGGCTCAGCTCTGAGTTGGGTTAAGTGCACGACCGTTCTAGACTTCTAACATGCAGAGAGACATTGGAACCAAAAGAAACCATACCTGCCCACGCGGGTGACAAAATACATGGCCCATCGCCAGATTCGCCCTTCCAGCAATACGCCCAAAACTAACCTGTAAATAAGTCTAGATGTCTTATAAAAATATCTCAAGCTACGAAAGCAAGCCCAATCATTGTTTTCTATTTTATTTAAGAAAGAAATGTAGTAGCTTGCTGCTGGAGAAGAGGTAGTCTTGTGGGTGCCGAATAGTGAAGGGGCCATGTATTTTGTCACCCGCGTGCTACCTACTCCGCAAGCTCCGTAAGCATCACTGATACAGACTAGTCATGTGTCACAGGCATGCTTTGCCTGCCGCGAGTCTTGCCCCTCCTTTGCCCATCCGCATCGTCGGATTCTTGTCGTATATTCCTACTTGAACTGTAGCAGGCCATATTGCCATAAAAGTGTGTAGAAACAAAGTTATTTGCTCCGAACGGAGACTTTGGGGGTACGATAACCATCTACTAGGGCCGAGACGGGTCATCTCTCGGTTGATCAGTTGAGTTCGCAGCAATGTTCGGGGCGAAGCTCAATGTTCCAGCGGTCGGAACGACACCGCTCAGTCAGTCAATCCAAAAAGAATCAGGTGGAGCGGAGGAATACAATCGGACTCCACGATCCTGGAGCCTTCCACTTTTCTCTGGGGCTTGCCGTCTGTCTATGACTCTATTGGGCTGCCTGGTATCATAATGGATGGACCGTAAGACACTTTTCGGAGGCTCCTCCGCCAACCCCATCCAAGATCTCCCAGAGAATGTACATCAACCTCGTTTTCACTCGAGATACCTCGCCTCAAAGGCCCAAACGACATTCATACTGCCACGCTTGCAGCTCAATAAATCAGCGTACATTGAAAATAAGACAGCACCTGTCAAGGAAAGCTTTCCATCTTGCCGAGAGTTTCTCCGGGCCAAGAGAACAACCCCGCCAAACGGGTGCATCATTCACCCAAAGGGGCTGGTGTCCCACCTTCCCCTGCAGCATGGGCCCCGGTCTCTCTCTGAAGCATTTGAGCGGAACTTCGGTGTAACCCGCGATCCAGAGTAGACAATCTCCCCGACTCGGATCCGGTGAAAAGCAGACGTGGCCCTGCATCTGCGTAAATCTTGCCCTATGAAAAACGGGTAGGATATACTAGGGGCAGAGGTGAAGTTGAAATGATCGACAGTGGGTTAACCGTATATTCCCCGTCAGAGCGGTCTTTTGGTATCTTGTACGAAGCACAGCGAGTGGTGTTGCCTGACATCTGATGGACAAGAATAGGCTTTGCCCCCCATTCATGTGCTCTTTCCGAGTATGTTCTGTACAGGTGACAGTCCGCAAACTACTGCGTGCAAGTCCTACTTCGCCATATCCAGTCGCGACCAGATTCTATAGATTTCATCTTTAATCACCTCGTGGCCGAGGCTCCTCTGTAAGTTTTGTCAGCTGCAGTTTCAGGACCAGCTGTCAAACTGGGAGAACAAAAGCTTACTGGATGGAAGGTTTTCCCATAATATGTCGGGACATACCACATGGAATTCCGAATCATGACATCCTCCGCGGCAAATTGCAGCGACGGATAGTCGCGTTTGGCTCTCGCCATGTAACACAGAGCCAGCAAACCCCAGTCTCCTGATCTCTCGGCCGGGCCCAGGCATGTCTCCGGGTCCGCGAGCGGTGACAGCGGAGACAAGGTATTGCTGCTCGCACCGCTCTCGGTGCTCACTGTCGTGCGATTCGGGGCCGGCGTCGGATCCGTCACGTTCGGGTTGTTGTCCTTACCTCCGACGAGGAAGAACCAAGTCTCGGTCCTGTTGTACGCTGGTTCCATGACGCCCGGTTCGCAGAAACGATGCCCTTCAAACTCGGCGTCGTAATCGACGAACAGAACCTTTGGGGTCGTAAACCTTGAGTTGACGGCTTCGATGGAACTCCTCAGTTTCTCGTTGACTGCCACGACCATGTCGTTCATCCTCTGGCGTACGTCCTTCTTGAGTTTTGGCCCCTGCCACCAGACACCGAGAGTACAGTTATCGCACTCATCAGTCTCCACGCTGAAGAATCGAGCATAGCCAGTCACGGTGATGACGAACCACGGCCGCTTCTCCCACTGCACTGTGTCCAGTATTTCCATAATGACCATCTGCAGCCGCTGCGAGAAGTCCGAACTCTCGATCTGATCGGTGACATACTGCAGAGCAGTCTCGCAACTGCCAGAGTTGAAGCTGTAAAAGCGGAAAATGCAAGCATTCATCACAGAGAAAAAGCCCAGGTCGTTGCCCCCGATAGAGAGTACCGCGAAGTCAGCGTTGACCGACTTGTTGAAGCTGTCGACCTGGCTATGATCGCCACCCGATAGAACATTACTAGTGGTAGACCCGGTGCAAGACAAAAACTGAAATGTTGCTGTTCCTGGGGCTTGGCTTTCGGCCAGGTCGGTGAAGATTAAGACGGGATATGCGTGAGATCCTAGCCTGCATTCGTCCTCGACGCCATCAACGCCGGTGCCGATGCCGGCACTATACGAGTCACCGAAGGCAACAAAGCCAGGCGCCTGTAGGGACTGTCGGTGGTCATTCCAGAGCGAGTGCTTGAAGTAAGCAGACGAGCGCGCTACATAAAGTCTCAGTTGACCGTCTGAAAAGCTACAGTATTTGTAAGGGATTATGGAGCCATGCCTTTGTCAGGATATAGCAGTATATGTTGATCTCTGGGGTGGTCTCCGGAAGATAAGACTTGTGGCACTGAGGAGGCCAGTCTAGCTCCCACCAGCCAGCATAGTCCAAGAATAGTAGGTGATGTGAAAAGCATATTGAAGTTCGCGGCAAGACGCAAAGGTGAATGATACTAGATCACCGCATGCCAGAGCGAACTTTGATGTGTGAACCCAGATCCATGCATTCGAGGTATGGTTCGAGTTGCAGAAAACATCGAAAAGAACAAACAAAGACATGTAGTCTAAAAGTTGTAGATAACGGTAGACATCTTCTGGAGGCAGCTGCAACGGATGCCGGGCGGCGCAGCGTCAGCGTGACCGACGATACGCTTACCTCAGCCACTTTAGCTCGTTCGGAAGGAATGGCGCTGGACCAGTTACTTGGACGAATGGCTGCACGAGGGACATTTCCGACCGATGGCAGGTCCTCCCATTCATGATTCCAGGCACCCAGAGGTTGTGTCCCCCACCCTCTCAATGGGCGAGATATTGCAGGTGACACATTTGTTGTCTTATCTCACTATCCATCTAGGTATCTCACTTCTTCTTTCTCCGGCGTCATGATTCCGGAGGCGGCTCCGAAGTCGGGGTTTCGCCGGAGTGGGCGGGAATTGCGGCCCCTTCGGCCCGTATTAGTCCGTCGCATTTGTTGAGGTCAATTATAACGGAATCTTACCTACGGCTCAGGTTACCCGTTTGTTCATCGCGAGGTCCAGCGCTTCTTCCTTGGACGCCATGGTGTGCGAACAAGGGGCATTGGTCATTCTTCGGTCCATCTCTTCATCTCGACTTCTAGCTTATCGGCGTCCCGACTTGGCTTGCATGTGAAAAGAGGAGCCACGGTCTTCTAGTGTCCTGGCGAGACAGCTTTACCGTCGCAAATTGCAAGCAGCGGCATGCCCATTTCAGGAACATCTTGACAGCCAAGGCCAAGCTTCGACCGTACGGGGCAATTTGCGGGATGGCGTGTCCGGGGCCTTACGTTGGTGGGTGAGGTGGATTGCGCACATGCGTCCTATGCAAAGCTTACCTCCCTTGGCTGCCAATTCGTTCATTGTGCTGTAAGATAATTGTCTGTTGATATTCGGAGATTTTCCCTCAGACATTGAAATGGTACTCCGTAGTTAAGGATGAGATGGCCAGATGCTCAAAAGTCGAGGCCTTGTGAAGCGGTACCTTGGGAGCGGGTACCTAGTCGTGGGCACCTTCCGAGAACCGATCAAAATAGCCCAGTGACGTAATCGCACCTTTTGCTGCTTCCCGCCCGGCCTGGTTTCCCGTGACTGCACTTCCGACCGCGCTCAACGTCATAGCTTCCTCTTCATCCCAGACTCGTCCACCCCGCCAGCTGCTGATCGCCAGATCCCTCATTACCTCCCCCGTTAAACTAAGGTAGATGCAGGCAGCACAGGGTTGACTTGGCAGATTGGTGGACAAGATGACGACCTATGCAAATCAACTCGCTAGTTCCAGGCCCGCTCGTTGGCTGGTCTCCCCCTCCATGTGCCACATCGGGAGCCACCGTAACTCGTCCGTTTGCACCAGCTTTGACGTGATCTCGTCTAGTCTCTCCGTGCTGGATTACGTCCATCCAATCCCACGTCGCGGATGAGCTCATTTGCATCTGTTCTACCCTGTCATGCCTTGCCTTGCTTTCGCCATGTCCAAGCCACCTTTTCTTCTTCTTCGTTTCTTACCTGCGGCAACGATACCTACTACAGTAGAACCAAGGTGTGGCTGCTAGGATGTACATGCCCGGAGAACAATGGCATTAGCCTGGTCAGACCCCTCATTCCTATTCTCGCGCGTCACTTTGGGCAATCCATTGGCTGCGAGGCGTACGTGTGCCGCTAGCTGGCCCAGCATGATGGGATAGTTGGACAATTCAAGGCCAAGATATATCTCCTTCTGTCTCGAGCCGTCGTACCCGTTAGGTACGTTACCACGTTGTCTCTTGCCTCGGGAGGCCAGAGAAGTACTTGGCTATCCCGTACCTGGCCATCCCGTCCGTTGCGTGCCCACCCCAGCCGTCCAGGTTGACCACTGTGATGTATTTCTAGGTATCAGAAGCAGGCGGGGAGAGTCGAGGCCCAAAAGACGTCAGACCTGCAGGCTGCTTGCTATTCGAGGCCTCCCACGTTTACCTTAAAAGACACCTCTTTGCCCAGTCTCACCCCGCCTCCTTAGACTTCTCTCTTACATCTTGAACACAAACAACCGATTTTCGATACTGTCCGGAACACTCAGGACTACAAATACAACCAATTGGGCAAACTACAAATCGCAAAGGCTTTCACATCAACCCATAGTATCCACTGATCAATATGGAGACCATCAACAACATCGCGGGCGCGGCGAGCAAGGCCATCTGGGGCACAAACGAAGCCAACCAAGAGCCCGTCTCTGGTGTCAAGGGGAACACTAACCAGGGTGAACCGTACGACGCTGGCAATATCGGTATGCGATCACTATGGAGCTTCTGCTCTAAAACCTAGCTTCGCATGACGCCAATTCTGACTTCCAAGTAGAAGACCCCTTGAACAAGGAGAAGAAGGCCAACATGGCCGATGCTCACACCTCTGGGCCGGCGACTGGATCGACAGCAACCACGACTACTGGGCTATCTACCACCACTGCCCCAACCACAAGCACCGGCACTGAGACGACTGGCACGACCGGTACAACTGGTACCGAGACCGGAATCGAGCACAACTTGACCGACAGGTCGCGTGCTACCGAGGAATCCACTACGCACAAGGCGACAGATGAATTATCCCCGAAGGACAAGGAGGAGATCGGCAAGCCAGAACTCAAGCACACATCACCCAGCGAGGTCCCCTCAGCCGACAGCGCCAAAGGGAAGACTGAGACGCGAGCCCCCAGCGATCCAGCCACCGACCCTGCACCCAAGGGCCAAGATGTGAACAACAGCGCGTCCGGTCCGACCACTGGTGGTGACAAGCTTGACGGCCCAGGCCCGAGACCTCTGGAGGCCGTTGCCAAGGAGCGTGGTGGTGATGCCGGCAATGTCAAGGGATCCTCGAAGGGTGGCCTTATTGGAGGCGACGACTCTACGACTGGCACCGAAGAGAAGAAGGACGAGGAGGACCCCAATGCTAGCCACGGCGAGGAGGGCACGGGTGAAAAGCTCGTTAAGGCTTCGGGACTGGCCGCAGATGGCGGCGACTTTGATGCGACGAAGCCTGGCGCCGGCCGCGAGGCGGAGCGTAAGTGTAGACCCGAAAGTATGGTGGTAATACTGTAAGCTAACACTTTGTTCAGGCCTCCTAGATGAGAAGGATCCTTCCCATGCTGCGGCCAAGGCATCTGCCAAGTCCGGCGCCGACAAGACCAGTGACAAGGCCAGCGACTCTCACAGCTCTAGCACGGGCGCTGGCACGGAGAAGGAGAAGGAGAGTCTCAAGGACAAGATCAAGGCCAAGCTTCACCGTCACTAGGAGATGGGTGTGTCGACTTCTCTATATCTTGTCCATTTTGTATCAACAACGACTTCTAGCACCAGCGCCGGAACACGATCATGACGGCTGTTTAATGATTTGTAGCACTGAATGATAAAGTTAATAACATACCAACGTCAAATCCTCTTAGTTGACATGTACATGATCTGTGTGCGTGAACCACACTTATCGAGAAAATCTCACTCTCGCTGTAAATGTCTCGAAGACAGGCAAATACGATGGAAAATCGTGTAGGCAGACCAAAAGCAGTTATATTGACCTATACTATCATCAGCACCTTTTATATCTCAACTCCTCACCGTCCTCATGCCACCTGCATTCTTCTAGTTGAATTTAATACTCAATCTAGACCGCGCATGGCTTGCAAAGTCTCACCAACGCCAAAGCTATCATCATGGTAAACTTATCCAACAATGCTGTTTTTCACGGTTCAAGGAGTCGACATACACGCCCATCCAAGCCGACGAGAAGGGCATGGATCTCAATGGAATTACTCTCAGGGTCTTTAATTCTGATTGATATTATGAAAAAAGCCACGACCCAACAAGGGGCTTGGTGGCAAACCGGGCTCGAGGTTCCCAGGTCCAATTCCAACATCTGCTTACATCGTTTGATGCCAGTGCTTTCTTTTTCCAGCTCGACACATTTCATCCCAGAAAAAACCATATATCAAGCTGTCTCTCGCGCGCTCTCTCTCTCTCTCTTTCGTTCACGTTTCACGAGACGCCGTTTGAGCTTTTTTTTTCATTTTCCGTTTTTCTTCTTCTTTCGGTTGGCTTTCCATCCCAAACGTCGGTTTCCCTTCATGTCTTTCAATTTCCCTGCTGCCTCGCGTCCCTGTCGAACATATTTGCGAGTCAACTCGTTCTTTTCCAATATCGCCCTTGCTATGGTACGGACGTGAAACCCGTCGGCCAATATGCAGTAGCAGTGGCGTATTAGTCCTACGTCGTTATATCATCCAACATCCCCATGTCGGTTGATCCCTTTTGGACAAGGAACAACCGACACCATTCATCCTCTTCTGCATGGAGCAGGTGTCTCCATTCGGCACTACTCCGTCGGATTCATCATCCACCGGCTAAAGGGCCGAATTGACGACCTTTCTCCTCTGCGCTCACCGGTTGAGAAAGCTCTGAATCCGAGATTTGGACCACCTGATACGCAGTTGGCACCTAAATCAAGCTCTCAATTTTCATCACGACCACCGCGGAGCGCCTCGAAGGGCTCGGGCCCATGGTGTTGATGAGTACCTTATGCGCCTCGAGAATTCCTTCGACGCGTACAACGTCCAAACCTGTAGCAGGCCCCTGGTCATGCTGGGATTGCCGGCATAGATGAGGGCATGATAGGATGCTTTCTCCATTCGAATAATCGCCGATCATAGAAAGCCAGATTCAGCAAGAACTCTGTATAAGAATTAGTAAAGGTGAACCAGGGTCTCCGATTGAAGTCCTGGGTTGGACACCCAGTGCTACGTACCTCACGATCTTTTCGTCTTCGCGCTCGCGTGGTTCCACTTGCAAGCTCTTGTCGTACATCTCATGCACATCTCCAGCAGCTTGCATATTACTTATTATGTAATCTTGCAGCTCCGGGACAGGCTGTAGTGAGTAGCCAACAGCTTGGTACTGTTGGATGTCACGGATGACTTCTGCCGTCTTTGCCCGCTTGGCAAAGTTGATGAGGTTGGTCTTCTTGATGATGGACGGAATTCCGTCCTCAATGAAGGTCAAGTCGGTAAGGTAAACACCTGCAAGGATGGAAAGTTAGTACCGACTTTGAGGGTTCTTTCGCCGGTAGTGAAGAAAGCAATGTTACGCACCGAAGAAGGGAATACAAGGCGGGTTTGCCACGTGCAAAGCCTCTCTGTACTCGCCAAAGTTCTTTGTGCTGGCCATGAGCTTTCTCATGGTTTCCAGTACACCCTGGGTTCTTTGTGGAACTTGATCCCAAGTTCTCTTCAAGCGAGCAATAGGCGCTGTTCCGAGAGCTGAGATGATTGAGGTTAGGGTGGAAAAGTTGTTTAGACTGCGGCATTTCTGTGGACTGTTAGCTTCAAAGTCCATTCAAGATAATAGGGTTTACTCACGTCTGCGACAGAAACAAAGTGCTTGATGACGATCACACGCTTCTTCACATCCATCTGAGCCAAGATCATCTCCGCCACCCAATTCGTCATTTGGTTGGAATGCAGAATAAGAGCCTTGACATTGGGTGCCGGTTCCGGTTCTCCTTCGCCCACCTTCTTTTGCCATGTCTTGTTAAGGCATTCCGTGGGCTTAATCTTTCCATAGAGCCTCGACTCGATTATGGTGAGCTGGCGAGCGAATTCCGTGACATCGATATCCAGGAACTTGAGCTTCTTCATGTTCTTAGGCATGATGGGTGATGGCGTGTTTTGGTTGAGCGTCTGGACCATACGGCGAGCTCCAGCTTGTTGACCACTGAGCCGTTGATCCAGGACTGCCATTAGTGGCGCAGAGCCTGGTGTCTCTGTAGACTTGACTGTGTCCCTCGCGAAGGTGTAAACATCTCGGATGAGCTGCTTCGATTCCTCGTTATGCTCTTCCATCCAGAAGTTATCGAACCAACTCTTCAGAATGTTGACGACACGGAAGCGAATGAGCTTCTGTTTCCTATCTCGCCAGGCCTCGAAATCCGATTGTGAGAGACCTTCAGGTGGCTGAATACCGAAGCGATTGACAATCAGTTTGAAAAGATCTTGAGCGGTTGTGAAGGACCTGTATGTGAGCAGGAAGGTGTTATTGAAGTTCGAGTCAAGCTTGTCGTGTCGTGTCAGTTGCTCGACGAGCGCCTCCAAAGTACCACCCTTGACGATGGGCGGCGTCAGCTTGTTGTCCCAGGCAAGATCTGGCTCATGGTCCAGTTTAAGGAACTCGGGCGTATCGTCAACAGGAGGCATGTTGCTCTGAGGGTTGGGGTCGTCACCCAAAATTTTCTTAACCTTTGAGTAGTCGCCTCCTCGGAAGTTGCCAGTGGTCTCTCCCTCGGTAAAGGATTGTGAAGTGATCATCGGGGGTCGCGATGCTGCGGGAGTGGTTCGCGATTCCGTGCGCTGATGGGGTCTGTCGTACGGAGCAGTTTCTCCCCGACGGAGTTGTTCGCGCTGCATAACGTCTTCCCTCTGTCTCGAATCGACTTGTTGCTGCATGTTAATTTGCACCTGTTCAGACAACAGCTGTAATGAAAAGCCGATGTGCGAAGAATTCGTCTCGAGGGCCTTGGCGCATTGTCGGACATAGTCCAGTCGATTCTCGAGGGCCTCGCCTCGAACCTCAGCCCATTCGTCCGCCAGGGGCCCGGCCACGGCCTGGCAACCTAGCAGCAGGTCTGACATATTGTCATACAGGCTCTGCTTGTTGGCGGCGAAGTCTGCCAACTGGGGTGTTTGGAAACTGTTGCCGAGGGATGAAAGGTCGATAGACTCGATGAGTGCAATCCAGGGCTTGAACGTCTCCAAGACTTTACCTCCAGCCAAACAAACATTGTTGCCAATAACTTCGTGCTTGAAAGGTGAAGTGATCTTGTCCGCCACAACCAAATTTTTGTCCAGTTCTCTTATGCTGAAAACAAGCATCCGTTTGAGCTCGTCCAATCTCTCGAGCTGCTTGCCATCCAGAATTGCCGTGGGCTCGACCACACCCTCCTCATCTTCCAAGAAATTCGCAGTGATAGGATCGCGGGTTCCCAGTCCATTGTTCTGCCAGCTGCCGCCAGTAGAACTTCCGATGACAAACCCAGGGAAAAGGCGCGGGATCTCCTCTCCTCGTTGTTGGCGGGCAATCTCGACATAGCTGAAAACGCCAAGTAGTACTCCGTCGGCTTCCTGGAGACATTTCTGTACAGATTCGGCATTGGGCCAGTCAGCAGCAGCGATGTGAGATGAGATTACGAGCTTCGAGAATTTTGACATCATGTCTCTGAAATGAGGATAAAGGGCCTTGTTCGTAGAAATAATGGAGGGCTGGCCGGAATGATTATCGGTCGTGCCAGATCCAGCAGCTAAAAGTAGTCTCAGGTGGTCTGAGATGTCCTCTGCGCGCGCAACATATTCGGAACGGTTGCCACTGGTGATGGCATCGCGGTAACGGTCAACAGCTCGGCGCATGTTGGAAACCAGGCGCGTCCAGGTTAGCGGCGGTGCTGAGCCATCATCGAAGAAGGAACGAGGCACAGTGCTGGTGGGCGGCGTGTTGTAAGAAGTGCTGGTGAACGAGGTCGCCGATGCAATCATTGGGGTTGCATTAGGTGCCAAGTTCGGGTTCAAGTACGTGCCGTCTTTCTGCCGGGTGACAGGTGCGGCACCGTTCATAGAGTCCATCGAAGTGGAGGGCGAGAGCATTTCGCTACGAGACCGACGATTACGAGGCTATCATGCACATGGACAGGTTAGCAAAAGCTCCCCACGGTGGCGCGGGCTTTGCGGCACGAGCTCTTACCAAAGACCCACGAGATGCGAGCATCAAAGACTCGCCCTCCAACTCGGATGCGGAGTTTGCTTCAGAGTCTTCGTCTTCATCTTGCGTCAAGCCCCTAGCCATCATCTCTGGTGGTGGCCGTGTCTTCTCGGGGACATTGACGTTTATCCGGTTGCGGGGTCCCGTCTCATTGGTAGATACTGGAGACTCCAAAGGCAATTCCATGCTTCGATCGCCCGTCATCATATTGTAGTAAAAGAGGCGCCCGTCGGGGGTTGCTTGCGGGATCCAAAAGTCGGCCCTTGATTTGTCGCCGAGATCCGTGCCTTCGAGCGGGAGGCCGGTAGAGTCGTCCAGCTCCGATTCGTCATCTTCTTCCAGCTGCTCGTCGTAGACCTCCTGGTTGTCCTCCTCATCGTCAACATGGTCAAGATCGCCGTTCTGGTCATGCTCGGGGATTTCGTCTGGACTCGTAACGATTTGACAGTAATTACTGGGGAACCAGCCGCGCACACCGTTGATAACACCGTCCCACCATCCGCTTTCCAGCTGTGTTATAACTTGAATAACGTCTCCTTCGTGAAAACTGAGACTCGTGCGGTCGTCGGCCTCGTAATCGTACAAGGCGCGAACGTACATGGTGCCGGGCGGGGCAGTGCCCGCAATACCGTTCATTATGGACGAGGAGGAAGTGATGGCCTGTGAGTAGGGTGAGAAGGCGTGGCCGACGTTGGATTGATCCAACGCCGGTTGGGAAGGGTAGTAGTTGGTAGCGTCGTGATTGAGGTTTTCGCGCGAAGGCTTTTTGCGGGAACTGTAGTTGTTATTCTGACCCTGGAATAGTGCCGGCACTGCGGTCTGTGTCATCAGCATGATGAGGCGGTCGCGCTGATAACCCAAGGAGGGGAAAAGGGTCAAGTCATGATCCGGGCGCGTCTACTCTGTTGTTGCTTGGACCGTTTTTTCCGGCGGGGGTCGGCGAGGGAGGTTTGTTGAATCGTCAATCGTAAGAAGTCGTGAAGAAGAAAGCAGAAGAAGGCGTAGGTAGTCAGATGGGAGGGAAGCGACAAGTTGTTGAGTTGCAGAAACCCACAATCCAGGAGTCGCAGGTTTGGAGCCGGGGGGGTAAAGTTGCGGGGGCGACGTTCGTCTCGTCTGGCAACAGGCGCAGCCGTGTGTCGACGAGGTCGGTGGATTGGATTGGCGCAGGCACAGGCGCTGGTGCCGGCGCTGGACACTGAGCTGGACAGTCAGGTCTCTGTCGCTGTCGCTGTCTGGGTCGGTTGTCGCGTTGAAGAATTGGAAATTCGAGCGAGCGAGAGCGGTCGCGACTCGGAGAGCTCACTGGTGGGATGAGATGAGAGAAATCAGTCGGCGGGTAGAGAAGTGTGGGATGCGAACGACGATTCGCCGGATATTTTTCTCGCGTCGACGTGTGCGCTGATGCTGGTGGACAGTCGGGACGGGAGGGGGGGACTCGGGAGGGGAGAGGGGGCACGAGAAGGAGGATCGCCTGATGAGGGAAAGGCCCCCCCGAAAGACCAATGTCGCCTAGGCGATCTCTTGGCGGGTGTATCAGACCGTCTCTGTAAATGCCTCCCCTTTCTCACACTCTTCTCTTTCTTCTCAGGGTGCGCGATGTTTAGTGGTTGACAGCCAGTGTTGAATATGGTGCAAGCATTACGGTAACCGTTGGAGGGGTATTAAATGTATAACTAGATAGTACCTAGATCCCTTTGAACAAGGTATGGTGAACAGGTGTCTCTCCTCCTCGTCCTCGTGGTCGTTTTCGTGGTGGTTCACTGGAGGTAGTGGTCAATGGCTGTGTGTAGGTAGGCTGTGTGGGCGGGCTGCAGAGTCGAGGGGATTCGTCTGGCGATAATGGTGGCACGGGGGTCAACGGTAGGGTAGGTACCTGAAGGAGGATATCAAGCGCGATAGTCGGATGTAGTATCTGTACCTCTAGATGCTTGATAGTCTAGCGATAACAAAGGCATGAAGAAGTCGCTCTGGGGGATGGTCGTTGGATGCCCGCGGTACCTCGATGGCCGAAGCTTAACAGCCCGGGGGATGGTTAATGAGACGGACGGGACTGAAGGATTGCAACAAGAGCGGGGGCAGCCACGCTGCACGGGGGACAGAATGGGGACCTTCCTCAGGCTTGGTGCCAGTGTAAGCCTGTAAGGTGAAAGCAGGTTAGGTAAGCTGGCTCCTCCCGTCCCGTCTTGTCTCTTTCCCTCGTGCTTTTTCCAGGATCCTGCTTGTCCGTCTCGTTGGGGCGGGTCTTTGAGCGCTCTTCTCAATCCCTCATTGGCCAAATCTGCAGCAACCCCTCCCCCTCCCCCTTGGAGGAAACACAAGGTGAGGAAGTGAAGGACATTGTGGGTTGAGGTACGGCAGGGGGATCTATGGAAGGCACTTTGGTCAACCTCCAGCCAAAATGAACCGTGAACGGCGGGCAGAGCTTGAGTAGGCAAGGTAAGCCCGGGACGCGTGTTTGGCATTTAAGTGTCCTCAGCCTGTTGGCGGTTCCCTCCGACCATTGGATGTCTGTGTTTCTTCCCAAATCATGTTTTGAACAAGCAAGGCCGAGTCTGACTTCGTTTGGGTGGGTTGATTTCTCTGCGTCGCAAGCTGCGTCCCTGACAATGACAATCGACTCTCGAGATGTCCGCCACTGTATCAGGTTGGCCTATATCTTACCTCCAACTGTCTGCAGGTTTGCTCGAAACTGAGAATCCTCGGTCAACAGTTTCTTCCACTGTCCACAATACAGACGGAACGGAACGCAGACACTACTTAGTTTTGCAAACAACGATATCCATATCCCACGAGGCATCCCAAAACACCTTACCTTGCAGCTTACGGAGTACTACTTCCATTAGTTGTCACCTACCTTCCTTGCCTGAGAAAGAGCACCGGACGGAACGGGAGCCGGGAGCTAGGCCTCAGAAAGGACACTGTGCGGTCGGCAGGAGAGAAAGAGCGCAGGGGCCACCATACACCGATGTGGATCCCGGGCACGAGCTTGACCGACCAGGAAGGAGGAAGGAGGCAGGAGGAAGAAGGAAGAAGGAAGTCCAGGACTAACCCGTCGAAAAGGCAGGTGGACCCCGCCGGCCTGTTGAAATTTCACCTCATCTTCCATTTCGACCACTTCTCACACGGCCATCTCTCACAGCCATCTTCCACCGCACTGTGCTCGGTTTACGTTCGACGTTTCCAGTCCTCGTCTGTCCTCACACTGTGCCAGGCCCGAGGAATCGTGCGCGGCTTGATGATACCAAAGCTGGCCGTCCCCTCCTGCCACGAGGCAACCGAATGCGCGCGTTGTCTACGTTACGATGCTCACCTTAACTCACCCAGGGTATCAAATGGCATCCGCAAGTGTCCAGTCTCGCTCGCCATTCTGCCGCCCTCGAGAGTCGAGCGTCAACATGAGGTGTGCGCCAAGGACAGGTCAGATCCAGGCGCCGGCCTCGAGACGTTCCATCTCACATCCCAACCTGACCTCCTGGCTGCAGCTCCAATCAGCCCGCACTCACTCTTCGTCTGAAGATGATGAAGGCGAGCCTGCGTTCACCACCTTGATATATCCCTCCACGCCTGCCGACGGCTCATCGACTATCCGTTGCCGACCGGGAGTAAGATGCCGCTGCCGTTGCACTCCGGCAAAGTATAAACCGGCTCACCCTCATCCGCCTTCACCCATTTGGTGTCCGGCCCCAACGGTCCGGGCAAAGCCACCGAGTGTATTGCAGCCGAGAGGAGGGACATGGACATCGTATCGCACTTGATCCAAGCTTCGCCGCCGGAACAACATTCCTCATGACGGCGACCCTGTGTGTGTGTGGTTCCCTCTCAGCTTCTTCGTGTGCGCCGCGCCGTGCCGTGATAACCAGCCGGATTGCCCGTTGCTTCGACCCTGATGCGTCATGCGCCGATGATGGGCAGTCATCCAGGACACTCTCACACCTGACCTGACCGTACTCAGTACAAGGCGAGTGTCAGCACTATCGACGCCCTGTATCAAATCGATAAAAAAGGCCACTATGCTTCCGTTAGATGCTGTTGCTTCGTCGTAGCAGTGAATGAGGGAGGGGGGCTTGTGTTCTGTACCTTACACTCAGGCTGAAGCAGGCGGGTAATCCATTGTCGAGATACTCGTGAGAGCGCCATCTCACCCGAATCGCTGTGTATCTTGTCTGAGAAAGGTTACAGAATAGCTCCAGAGAGTATGGCTACCTATGAAGTCGAATCAGAACGAACCCGCCCTCATCCACGCGTTCGTGGAAGGGTTACGGTGCGGGGCGGTCCGTGAGTGAGGGGTGCAATCCGTGAGGAAAGAAGAAAGAGAAGGGGAAAAAAGGGGTCGCCATCCTTCTTCCAGGGAACCCCTCCTGTGTTGCAGATCGGGACGATGTCAGATGTTCTCGTGAGATTCCATTGCAACAATGGGCTCGGAACGAACCAGACGTGATTGGTAGGGTGGTCAGGCCTGGGCTACTAGCAGAGAGGTAACCTGCCCATTTTCCAGTGCTTTTTTTTTTCTTTCTAGAAAAGCACACTTGCGAACCAGAGAACTCGAGCAGTGCGGTTTCAGGTCGTGATTCGTTCATGTTCCGGGGCCTTGGACCGGCGCGGCGATGACACTGACGCCGCTGATCCCACCTCACATCACCTCCCCTTCTAGTCTATCGGCTATCCGTGATGGTATGTATGTAGCGTATGACTGTGATGTGACTTTGCAGATGTGATGTGCAATCAGCCACCCGTGACCCGACGACGCCTTATCAGGAACAAAAAACCCAGTCGTCAGGCACGCCGCACCCGACGTCAGGGAAATACCTACCTACGTGCCTACCTATCCGTACGTACTTCGTACTTTTGCCAGTCCGGCTCATATGATCGTCAGGGGCCAGCTGCTCATCGCCTTCAGCCTCCCGCCGCGTCCGCCACAAGTTGCTGATCTGCAAGATACTCGCTCGTCGGGTCGTTCGTTAGACTCTGTCCGTGGTGTCAAAAAGTGACTTTGCGAATCGAGCATGGAGTAGGTACGGTTATCCGTAGACACAAGGTTACCCAGTATGAAAGTGCTGTTGCCAGCATTCCCCTCTACGCAAACCAAACGTTCTCTTCTCCCTCTTGGGCCCGCTACACTTATTCAGGGACCAGTACCGAAACCGCTATGATTGCCCGCCCTGCTTTCCAAATCGCCTCACAGAGTCACGGGCTTTGAGAGGCAAAGAGAAACTACGGAAACACTAGAAGAAAAACAAAGGTCCAAAGGGGGTACCCGGGACCAGCGGATACCGGGAAGGGGAACATTCAAAGTACCTACGCAGTAGGTATTAAGGGTAGTACAGAAGTTCTGATGGCAATCCTTGAGCATGCTATTAATTAGACAGGCCCACCACACCTCCTCCACCGCGACTGTTCCAACAGCCATCCTGGAGCCCTGGGCCCCCTGGCACAAACGCGGAGCGCAAACAGGCACGCCTGACGCCGCACTCTCAACGGGGAACCGGTTGACCGGAACCCGTGCCGCGGCGCGAGGTGGGCTCTGACTCCCTCCGTGCCCAGGCGTGGAGGCGCGCTCCATTTTAGCTGTTCCTAGTGCCCCGCCATCCTGGAGGGTTTCTGAACTTTCTCTCGATTTTTTTCTGTCGAAAAATCCCCCCCTCCACACGGATACTTTGGAACCAATATCTTGTTTGCGATATTCTCGTTCGTATTCAGGGGTAAACACGAAAAATAAAAGAAAGAACCCGTAGAAGGAGAGACGTGCGCCGGGATTGTTCTATAAGCGTTCCCGTATGGCAATCGTTGACGGCTCGCCCCAACGGCAGCCAGCGCCCCTTCCCAACATCAGACGAAAACCTGAAGACTGACAGACGGCACATGGCTTATCATTGCAAAGTCAATAGAGGGGTCAATGAACGAGAAATTCCCGTCTCGGCCGTCCCGGTCATGTATGTTGTTCTGGCTTGGCAGGCCTTGCCCTATACCGAAGTTTCGAATGAAGGGCACCGAAAGCCCGGGTTAGACTGGGTCCTGGGCTCCTGGCGACATGTTCTCCTCCCGGCTTCCTTTCGTTGGCCTGGACCACTTCTGCTTCTAGATCCTCTTCCGGCGTCCGCTCGTAGGGTTAATAGATTGCCAGGTAGGTGGCGGGGACCTGGCTTGCCCTGGGTTAAGTTGGATTCGAAGGGCCCATATATTACAAGAGAGGGACTATTGCAGGTGGTAAATGGAGTGCCGGACTGGGGTGCATGTTAGCCTCGTTGAGCGGTGGCCGGAGACGGAGCTGGACCATCGAGGGGAACTGTGACTCTCTGCGACCGAAGTTGTATGCGATACAGAGTCAGGCAAGTACGGTGTACAATATCCCCTCAAGGTATCGGGATTCTAGATTCCCAAGGCGCATATTCGTGGCAGACACGTCAATGCGTTGGGAAATGGCTTTGTCGGTGAGGCCCATTGCTTCTAGATTCATCGATTGAGCCAGCAGCACGTCTCCGAAGGCTTATCTGGCGTGCGCCGACGCCGACGCCGACACCGCGGTGACTTGCGGCGTCAGGGAGAAATGGTCGATATGAAGCGGGTGATATCGTGAGCGTAAAAAGAGAATAGAAGAGGGGATGTCCACTTTCTTGCTGCGACCGAGCAGTCGAAGCGCAAGTGTTGTTAGTTGGCTCCCCACCGATATGACAGGACTTGCCCTTTCGGTTCTCTTACCCTTGAAATTCAACATCTGTCCGCCATTTCGTGTACCCACTCCGACATTTCGTCGTTCGAGACCGACAAGATGAAAGACGCGCTTACAAGGACTCACCGCATCGTTGGTGCTTGACAAGCGATGGGATGCCCCTCTATCTGTAGAGTCCAGGGCTCTGTATCCGTACATACTCGATAGGGACTCGGTTGAATGTGCGCTTTTGTCCCTGCAGTTCGAGGATCCCCGAAGCGCCAGTTCACGATATCGACGGGGGGTGCTTGAGGGCGGTGACACCCGGAACGGTGAACTGTAAGTATAAGCGAGCGAGCGACGGGCCTTGCAAGGTCTAGGATGAGAGTACCCATAGCGCAGCATGATGCGTGACAGCGAATTCTGGGTCATGATCCATGGGTTCAGACTTCAGAGAGGGGGAGGGGCGCGACGGTCGAGACTCGAAATCCAAGGTGGACGTCTTGGAGGGGGAGGGACCGGAGGGCGACAGCGTAAAGGCAGTTTTGTGACGCCAGGGATGCGAATGAGAAAGCCGAAGAATTAACGAGGCCGATAGGGTCAGAGCGGATTCCGAGGGAGTTGTGAGGATTTCCGTACGGATACAATGTTTGAGATATCGTGACATGCAAATGATAATCGCAGTGGAGCGTTGATCGATTTCCCCTAGACTTCGGGCGGTGGCGGGTTGGCGACATGGACAGGTCAGTAAGGAACAGATCCGTAATGACGAGACATTTGCAATGGAAGCATTGGACCCAGTCGTGGAAGTCGTGTAGAAAATTGTGTAACTCGCTTGGACAAGAGAACGGGATCGAGGAACAATGTGGCACATCCATGATACCTACCCCCAGGGCCCTGACGGTTCTAGCCTGGGGAGAACAGGGGACGGGGCGTGTTTGGGTTGAAATTGTATCAACATGATAAAATGACTTGGGAGTAGGCGCAAGTTACAACTCGTGGGGTGGAAACTTGCCAAGTTCGAGGGACAAAATACTGTGCCACCTTATGGGAAAGGGAACTAGCCTGCGCCGCACTTGTGAATCCAAATCCATCTGGAGGCTGGAGAAGGGGAGAAGGAAGGCGGAAGTAGCACTGGCACCTTCATTTTTCTACGAATAGTAAGGTACGTAGGGAGTAAGAATACTTGCAACTTGTAAGAGCACATGAAAACCCTTGACGAATCTCTGCAGGGCAAATCTATCTCAGCGCAACAGGGTCTCTGACGGGCATAATAATACCTGACTACTAAGTACCTGATTGTGCAAGGGGTCTAGAGGAGTCAGAGCAGAGTTGGAAAAATTTTCTCATCCGTATCAGAAAGCTGGTGGCAACCTCAATTTCCAAAAGCGAAAAGGTCAAGGGAAAAGAAAGCAAACAGGTGAGTCAGAATGGCAACAGGAAAAATGAGAAGAAGAAAAAAGGAAAGGGGGGAGGACGAAAAGGGATGAGACTCATGAGAGAAAGGAGGGGGAGGGGCTCGAGGACCGAGGGGCACACTTGTGACTATCCATGGACCAAACTGGCACATTGGCCAGCAGCATCGAGAGTCGAGACAACGACGTCGACATCATCTCGTTTGGCGAAGATCGCGGGAGCGCTTCCGTGGTCCGCGATGGAGCCGTGGGTCGGTTGTCGCCTTTCTCATTCCACTTGTTGATTATGCCCAAATCCAATACTCCGTCTTGTGGTCTGTGTTGCGCATAGCGGCATGGCATGGCTGGTCAATGGTCATGCTTCGTATCATTTCAGATCTTCTCGTCGTCTCCTTTTCGATCTGCTGCCGGCGACCATGACCAGAGCCCTGTCTCTGGAGTCTTCTCTTTCAC